TATGCCAGTTCCTGACTGGCTTCCGGGTGAGGTAGGAATTTGGAAATATTAAACATGGAAATCTTGCTGACCGTACAGTCCAGGAATGTCTTTGTCTGAAGCCTGCGCAAAATCCTTAGTGACCACATAGCCTGGGAAGGCCTTTGTCTAGGGCCCACTGCCACAACATTATTCTAGGAGGACAGCAGATTAAAGTGCACATTTGACTCAGTTTGGAAGCCATATTTTAAAGGGCTTTCACAATTAGGAAACCATGCCCATGGTGAGGGTGATGGGAGGGGAGAGCATCTTGGGGGTCACAGACCCACCCCCTCCCAAAGCTATAAATCTTCAGGCATGGGTCTCTGGGGACTCAGTGCAATGCCTGCTTTGGGCTCATCGGAAACCCTGGAGGCAGAGCCAAACTCCATGCTGTGGATCGGAGACACGTGGGTTCTGGTTCGTCCCTGGCCTATCTGGCTAGATGGCTTGGTCCAGCACTGACACACCTGCTTTGGCAGCTGGCTGGACTCACACACCTTCAGGAAGGCCTGTATCTACTCCAGCTCCTTTGAGGTGAAAAGGGGGTGAACGCCACACTAGGAGTTTCCTGGCTCTTCACGGGGGCTTCCCTGAGCTGCTGTGATGGTCCATTCTGGCTGCAGCCATGCAGAATACAGGAACAGAACGAGTCAGCAGCTGGGCTAGCGCAGGCCCCACTGGCTCCTGCAGAACAAAGGGAAGTCACTGTGAGTGCCACGAGGGAGGGTGGAAGGGGCTTGTCAAGCCCTGGGCACACAGGAACAGAGCCCAGCCCTATTTGCAACTGAGACCAAAACCAGATTCTAGGCACACCTTGCCGGGAGGCAGTGCCACTCCCAGGGAGAACACCTGGGTTTACCCACAAAGCCCAGTCACAGCTGGGTTCCAGCAGCATTCCCTACTGCACACCCTCTGCCCATTGGGATGGGCGGCCAGGAAGCTGAGGAATGATGTCTTCCACACAGGTGGTTTTCTGTTCTTATTGTGAAATAGGTCACATATGCAGGAGTGTGTGTGAAACATTTCTGTACATTAACACAAGAGCGAGACAGCCCATATGAGGACCCATGGCTCCCCCAAAGCCAATACAGGAACCTGTGGCTGCACTGCCCCCATTTCCACAAATGCTGAGAGTACCACTCTCACGTGGCATGCCTCTCCAAAGCACACGTCATGTCTCCTGCCTGGCTGAAATGCGAAAGCACGCATTTTTTTCTTCTCCCACTCAATGTGACATCCTATCATTCCAAAGCAATGCAGCATTTCATCTCATGAATGCACAATTTGCTTGTCCAGCCTTCTCTGTTGGGCATCTGATCTGCTCCCAGTTTGGAGCTCATGAACAAAGCTCAGGTCTCCTGGTACGCTCAGGCAAGACTTTCTCTGACACATGCACCTGGATGGGAAGCCATTGGCCTCAGGCACCTGATGCTCAGCTGCGGGTCAGGCTGCCTGCTGGGTCTGCAAAGTGGTGCCTCCGCCCCGCCCAGCAATGCAATGCTGTTCTCTCACGCTCTCTTGGCGGTGCTCAGGACCCTGAGACTCTTGTTCTGCTCTGTGTGGTGGTGTATTATGGACCTAGTGTGTTTTCAAATTGTACTTCCCTGATTACTCACACATTTAAGCAGTTTTTGTTTCTTGACACTTCAGGTTCCCTCTTCTAGGAGTCCCCATTCAATTGTTTCCTACTGGGTCAGAATTTTTTATATATCCTGGGTAATAGTCCTTTGTCAGTTATGTGTTATAAATATTTTTCCAGTTTTTGGTATGACTTCTCACTTTTTAATGACATCTTTTGATAGCCACAAGTTCTTCGTTTTAGCATAGTCTCATATATGCATATCTTCCTTTACGACTAGTGTGTTTAAAAGAAAAAAATCTTACTTAACAAATCCTTATAGATCCAGAAGAAATGGAAATATTTTCCAATATTATCTTCTAAACACTTGTATACATTTTCTTTATGTTTTTTCTTTTATTGACTTGGAATTTATTTCTGTGAACAGTACTACAGAGTTCTAATCTTACTAATGTTTTTCCCACATGGGTACCAGATTGTTCCAGCAGCATTTATTATGAAATCTACCCATCCCTACTCACCAATCACATCTGCCAAAAATTCAGTGTCCGTGTATCTATGGACTTTATATTGGCATGTCTCCTTCCCCTCACTGGTCTCCACATTCCTTTCTGCACAGATACTATCCTGGGTTTAATGAACCAAGCTCTGAGGAGGTGGTCAGCCAGGTATCCCTGCATTGCCCTTTTTTTATTCCTGAGCATCTTTGCTTAACATTACATATGCGTTTTAGAATCAGCTTTCCAATTACACACACATGCACTCGTGCACACGCACACATGCACACCCTGCAGGGGGTAGGGAGGAAGGTTCATTGACGTTGCATTGACTGGGAAATGTGCTATCCTTCCAACACAGACTACACTCCATTGACGTTACACATCCTTCATTTGTTTAGGTCTCTCTACATTTTATATACTTGTCTTCAGGTTTTTCACATTTTTTATTACGTTGATTTCTAGGAACATAATTTTTTTTAAATATGCTGTTGTAAATGGTATATTTTTCATTTTCTAACATTTGTTACTCATATGTGAAAATGGCTATTTCCTCCCCATCCTTAAAAGATACATCAGGTATAGAATCCTAGATTGACTTCTCCACCATATCAACAGTATGATTCAACTCTGTTCTGGCTTCCATTCATGTGGATGAAGCGAGTTACTCACTGACTCCTTGGAAGAGAATCTGGCTTTTGTCACTGGATATTTAAATATATATACTTTCTTCATCTCAGGTGTTTGTCAGTTTGCTTATGATGTCACTACAGTTTGATTCACCATTCTTAGACTGTTGGACTTTGTGAATCTGTGACTTGGTATCTTATGACAGTGTTGCTAATCTCTCAGCCATCATCTCTTTAAATATTGTCTCTTCACAGTGTTCTCTGTGTCTGGGACCCTGCTTACACATGCTATAGACTTCACACTCTATCTTCACTCACTTTCTTTCCTATTTTGCAAGTCTTTGTGTATCTACTGAAATCATTTCTTTAACTCTAATTCCGTAATTCTGTTTTCAATTGTGTCTCGTGTGTTTTTAAGTCCATCAATCAACTTTTTAACTTTAGTGATATTTTTGGCATTCCTGTGATTTCTAGTTGGTTCCTTTTTAGTTAGTGCTTGGTAATTTCCAAGTAGTTTCTTTCTGCTGTAGTTTTGTTGATTCTTACCCATAGTGCTTTGTTTCCATGTGTAGTCGGTCACTTTTTATTGAGAGCTGCTCATTTCCTTTAGTTTTATTGGTGAAAAGTTTGATGAAAAAGCAGCCTGGGATGATACTCGGAACCTCAGAGTGGATTTCTGCCTGGCAACTGGGAATGACTCATGCAGAATTATTCTATATTAATTATCAGCTAGAGGAGTTTAGGACCTGCCACACAGCACAAAGTTAGGGACAGTCTGTTGTTCCAAAAGTCTTCAGTGGGCTTCCTCTTTTTCTTTCAGCTCCAAGGTTTGAGATGGCTGATGATTCCTCAGTCCTTTGCAGGTGGAGAGTGGGCTCCTTCCACTTCACTACCACTGTGAGGGCACAGCCATTTGCTGGTTCCAGTTTTATGGGATAACTTACTGACCTCCCTTTTTTACTGTGCTCTGAGCTTGGCCTTCTCTTCCTACCTCCTGGAAAGTGGGGAAAGGAAGGAGAAGGAGCCAGACTGCAGCAACACCATGTGCACAGTGATCCCCCAAGAACCAAACATTATGTACACAGTGTCTTTTTCGTAAAATTATTGTCCCCAAAGTGCACTGTGGGTATGTATTTATTAGAGGTATGTATAATCTCAAACACTAAATTAAAATGAGAACATGAGAATGGAGAACACTGGTGGGGTACAAGGACAGGGAGTGGGGGCCACATCTGCACACGTAGGCCCTGTAAGGACCCTGCCCTTTTTTGGGTGGTGGTCCATCTCTTATCAATGATCAATAATGAAAACATTGAGTATTTTAAAAAAGCAGGTTGCACACAGATCAATGACAAGTGTGTATCCCCAACCAAGGGTTATGGTTAATGTAGCTCTGTGCACCAAGGTCTAAACCAAGTGTGTGTGGGATGCAACTGCCATTTCCTGGGCAGCACTCTGAGCCATACCCTGGGTGGCAGTGTGCGTGAATCCTCATTGCGTCTTCACACGCATCCCCCTCTGGGAAGTAGAGCCAGTACCCTCCTCATAAAGAAACACAAACAGATTTAGGACATTTGCTCAAAGTGGTCAGAGCAGTAAGGCTGCTACAGCACAGTGGAACCAGCTTTATCTGCTGCCATAGTCCAAGGGCACTCTGGTGCCCATCAGGGTCCGATCACTGCAGGGAGTTGCAGGCTCTGAATCCCCCGCCCCCAGACAAGTGAACCTCAGGCAGCTGGGCTGTCATAGTGGCAGGATCTCAAGGGCTCTGCACTGACAGGATGTCACAGGTGGGTCTGGCGGTATCATCAGACTTCATGAGTGTGGTGTGTGGTGAAAGGCCCGCATCTGACCTTCTGTGGACAGCATGTGCTCTCCTAAGGGGGGCAGGGACCAAGCATCGATTTCAGGTGCATCCTTCTGAGTCTGTGGCCAGACAAGCAAAATTAGGCCCTGTCAGAAGGGAAAGGGAAGCCCGCTGTGCAGGACTGACCCTGAGGCACTCTGAGGGAACATCGGGAGGCCTGAGGCCGGCAAGGATCACTGCCTTTAACCCTAGGGGAGTCTGGCTTCCTGAGCCATGGTCTACATGGGCGCTACCCATGCACCGAAGCTCACGGCACCCGGGCCTCCTGTCATGACACTTCCTGTCATGGGGGGGTCACAGTACTTCTCATCTGCACACTTCCTCGTTCAGTTGGCTTTTGATCCCTGCCTGCGTCAACCTCCCACACTCACATGCTGTACTTTTTGACCATCAGTTACACACACCCCATCTTTATTCCGTTTCCTACACACAGTTATTGCCCAGCATTCATTCTGAAATGTTCCAAACATACAGAGAGTTGAGAGGATTATTTAGAGAATGCCCATAAAACACCCACCACTGATATTCTGTCACTGCAGACTTTTGTCCCGGATCCTTTGTCGCACAACTGTCCACCTGTCACTTTGTGTGTGGTGCATTTTTGAGCTGCTGGCCGACACCAGTACATCTTAGGAGAGCAAGCATCTGTTTCTATCAGGACATTTCTGTACCCCATGCGCTTCCATTACACACATGCACGTACACATGCACACCCCACCATCAGGACATTTCACTAGCCCACTTTGTCTTGTGTTGGCGTCTCAGTAGCACCCTAGATCACTATAAATGCTTCACACCGTGAAACAGCAGTTCTGAATAGCATCCTGCCGTCAGTGTTGGGGGGACTCAGTCCTGATCTTGACTCTCACCCTTGCCCTCGGCTCAGTGCCCAGCAACCCTGCTCAGCTTTGTTGAAAGGACTGCCTTTGGGCCGATGACAGTGACGGAGGTGAGACTTGAGCACTTCAACAGCGGGTTGCACGCCTTCTGCTTCATTCTGCCAGTTGGGACAGGAAAGAATACTTGTCAACGAAGAAGACCCTGCCTGTGGGCAGTGAGCTCACAGAGGCCGCACAGGCAGCCAAGTGCCCAACAAGCACCTGGTGACAGTGGTTTCTCTCCACTCTGCACACCACAGGCACAGCATCTCTGGGGAGGTGGCTGCAGGGCCTGAGGGTCTGCTGTGCAACTTACAGGCCTGCGGCTCATATGGGAGGACCCGGATGCTTGTCGGTGGGGTGGCGCAAAGGCATGCTCCCACCGCCCACAGAACATTAAACAAGCCACGGGCTGGACTCCTCCACAATCAGACAGGAAGTGGCTTCATGGGCAGGAAGGATCCATACTTTCATTTCATTTGGCCAATTCCTACAGAACCATTTGATTTAATATCCCATAGCAGATACAGAGACCAGAAGGAAAACTCCCAATACGCTTGTCTGGTGACTGCCATTAGAGAGAGACTTCCTAAAGCCCTACACAATAGTTTCCACTAACATGTTCCCCTGAGTGACACCCTCTCACTCCACAGGCACTTCCTGAGTGCATTTGCCATGGTTATGCTTCAGATACACCAAGGCCCCGAGCCCAGAACTGGGACCCTAACCCGCCACAGTGGTATCATACGACAAGTTATTGAGGTGAGAGGGCAGTGTCTGACAGAAGCAGCCTCCTCACGACAGAGGAACACGTGCTCACTGTGCTCTCAGGGGACCACACTGGGGACCAGAGAGTATGTGACTTACATCCATGTTGCGAGGATGGGTCCTGGTCCTCAACATTCTGTGTGAAAGTGACTTCACGGCTGCACACAGCTTTGTCATGAGGACAGAGTGCACTCTTTAAAAGATGTGCTTGAACCTCATCACTATCTTTCTCATGGGTCACGTTCTGCCTGTGTGAGTTTCAAGGTGGGAAACTCATGCGCACCTTGAGTTGGCCTGTGTGCAGTGTCAGCGGCACAGCTGTTATTGTGACCGTATCTTTCTAAGCAGAGTGGCCTCAGAAGTGAGTCACAAAAATGAGGCCTACTTAACCAAAAGCTGCTGCAAACCATTGAAAGGGCATCCAGCCTTAGCATGCTGTGGGTATTGAAAGAACAAAAGAAAGAAAGGGAGGGAGGGAGGCAGGGAGGGAGAGAGGGAGGAAGAGAGGGAGGCAAGGGAGGGAAGGAAGAGGGAGGCAGGGAGGAAAGAAAAAAAGAAAGAAAGAGAGAGAGAGAGAGAGAGAGAAATGAAAAAAAAAGAAAGGTGTGTTCCCCTACCTGTGTGCTTAGCTCAGAGGTCACTTTTGAGAATGGAGCAGAAAATGAGTATAATTATTCAAGTAAGGGAATGTGCTAGGCTACATGAATGGCTGTCTGTGTCCATAATGTTCACTCAGGCGATTTTGTTTTCTATGCTGTCATCACAATATTTTAAAATTCCCATGAAAAATTAATTACTTTTTGTGTAATGTGTGTTAAGACAGGTACACAGGTATTTTTCAGGTCTCGAAAGCTGACACACTTACCCAAGTGCAGATGGGCTGAGGTCGTCATCTACCCCCTGAGAGGGCCTAAATGATCATTCACACAATGAAAAAACAATGTAATTGTTTACACTCAATTTATTTTTCATCAAAATCCATTCCACTAGCAGTCGATTTTGAGTAAAGGTACCTCAGAGTCCGCTGGGTCCTGGGACAAGACCTCTGGTGGGAGGTACCCTTTCTCCCCAATTCTTCTGTAATGGGTAAATTGTGGCTCCTCCAGTTTCACATATTGAAGTCCCAAACCCCAGGAAGTTAGAATGTGACTGTACTTGAAGAGAGGGGCTTTAGAGAGGTCATGTTAAATGAGACCACTGTCGTGGGCCCTAATCTACACTGACCAGTGTCCTTATTCAACGAGGACAAAGCTGCACATGTAGGCAAGACCGTGTGAAGACACAGACTAGACAGCCGACGACAGTGGCCTCAGAAGAGTCTAACCTTGATCACCTCTTGATCTCACACTTTCAGCCTCCAGAACTGTGAGAAAATGAGTGTCCTCTTTAAGCCACCCACCCCATCTGTGGTGCTGTGATGTAATGGCAGTTCTAGCTAGCGACAGGGCACGTTGCATGCACACGTCTCATTCCTCTTTGGGGTTACTGTCAGTGGTTGAGTCTGTGCTGGAGCCGGCTGGAGGCGTGATGGTTTCTACTCACTGTGTCTCGGATAGTCCAGTAGAAATGCAAGTAATAGACGCCTGCTGACACTGTCTCTGTCACTAAAGGTGTTGTCCACCCCTGACTGTTTGCACGTCATTACAAGGGGCTCTTTCTCTGAATCCCACAGGGCTGCAGTGAGACAGAACCCTCCAGAGAAAGTGAAGTCACCTGTCACCCTCAGCACCGAGCAGGGGCACAAACCCTGCTTAGAAATAACCCATCAGAAACCCTCGACAGCTGACCTCTCTGCCAGGTGCAGAAATGATTGACCTAAAGGAGCAAGCTTGCTGACTCACCTGTGATGAGGGACACAGAAATGCTAAAACACACAGCTACAGATGTAACCACACATGCACAGGATCCCATTCACACACATGTCACCCACATACACTCACACTCACACATTCATACCCACACATACTTATCCTCATGTCAACCACACATATCACTCACACACACAGTCATCACCCACACACTCACAGGAACCACACACACACACTCACACACACAGCACACACACATTACACACACATACACACACACACTCACTCCCACACATCACCCTACACACTCACACACACAAACATCACCCACACACACACTCACACCTGCACACTCATACCAGCACATGCACATTACACACGCATCGCTCACACATAAACATCACCCCCACACTTCACTGACACACACCCACACACACAACCCACACATCACCCACACACACAAAAATACCACCCCCATACAAACACACACATCACCCAGACACACTCACATCCATACATCACCAACACACACACACACTTACACTCATGTCAACCACACACACATTACTCACACACAAACTTCACCCACCACACATACCACTTACACACAAATATCACCCACACACACTCACACCAACACATGACCCACACACATCCACACAACTCATACCAATACATCATACATAAGCATGCCCAAATATCTTCTCATTCACACACATCACACAAACACAAACTCACATGCACATATCAACCACACACAAACATCACCCCCCACACACACAACCCTCATACACACTCACACGCAGTCACATCACACACACACTCACACCCACCCACACACAATTCACATAAAAACATCACACACCATCCAACTACACTCACACACACACACATCTTTCACACATGTTCACACACAGGCACTACATCACACATAAACATGCAACTCACAAACCACCCCACAACACATCACACACACACACACACACACACACACAAACTCACATGCACATATCAACCACACACATACATCACCCATACACACCCCACCCACACACCACATACATACACATGATTCACACAGAAATATCACACACACACATCACTTATACAGAAACACATACACACACATAGACACAAACATACATCACACACTCACATGCACACACCTACCACACACACATTCACACACACAATTCACACACACACTTAAACACACACACATCACTCCCCCCCACACACACACACACATCACTCCCCCCACACACACACTAACTCACACACATTATAAAACCTCACAGTTAAGGTTATTTTCTTTCCCTCACTTCTTCTTCCAGTCCCCACCCTCCTCTGTTCTCATGCTTGGGTACCACATAAATGCTTCAAACCAGTGAAGTGAGCAATTCCCAGTACTGTTCTGTCCTCCTTCTTGGAGGCCCCTGGACCCCACCTTTGGCTCTGACCCTGCATGCTAGGCCCACCCCCGGGGGTTCTGAGCTCACCGTCAATGATGGGTGCACCACAGTGTCGCAGCTCGGCCTCGGCCACCTACAAAGGGGCAGGAAGGGGAGAGACGGGCCTCAGCACAGAAGGACCTGTGTCTGGGCAGTGAGCTGGCAGAGGGCGGCTGAAGGTGGCAAAGCATCATACAAGCGCAATAACTATGGCTTCCTCCTGATCTGCAAAACGTCAGAGACCACAGCTCCTGCCAGGCGTCTGAGTGCTCCTGAGTTCATTGCACAATTGACACCCGCCTCAGGAGCCTCATGTGTAAAGGAC